TCAGGGTGAGGGAGGTGGGGAGGGGTCGGGTTTGAAGAGAGCCGGCTTCTGGGATATTTTTGGAGGGGAGGGCAACGAGTGGTGCCTGTATTTGGAAATGGAGGTGGATATTAGAGGTGGAAAGAAAAGGGAGATTGGGGAGATGTGGTTGGATCTTAGAGGTCTTTGGGGAGGGGGTTGACTCAAACGTCACAGCTTTGGTTGGGACCCTGATTTCCCTCTGAAACTGACGCATACACACACACACACACACACCAAACACAAGCACCACTGTGGCAGACTGACAGAGGACGGAGGGACGAAGCAAAGGGGAAACTGTTAGACAACAACAACAAAGCAAGAACATAAAAGAAAGTCCAAAGAAAGAAGCTGAGAAACTAAAAGGAAGAGAAGAAGAGCAGGAACGAGAAGAGAGAAAGAGGTAAAGAATATTTTATTTTACCGAATTACAGCTTGTTGAGTCAAGAAGAGTTTGTAAAGCATTTTAAGTCTTAAAATCTTCATTTTTATTTCCATTTTAACTTTAAAAATTCTTCCAATCTGTCAAGTACTGTACTTAAGTACAATTTTGAGGTACTTGTACTTTACTTGTTTTCAGCTTATGTTACTTGCTTTTTACTGCACTACATTTATCTGACAGATACTTTATTTTTCAAACAAAACATATGATCAATTTTTATAATATGATAATTACAGATTAAACTAACGGTATGTGAAATGGTTAAAATTAGCTCCACTTCCACCAGCTGTAACATTAAACTGCTGTTTGTTTGTCAATGCTTCAATAATAATATTCAAATAATATATGATATTATGACACTATACCTTTCCTGACAGTAAGACTTACATTACAGAGTTTTTTTGACATATTGCTGCCTTTACTGAAGAGCACTTCTTCCACCACTGGAAACCACATATCAAATTATATGTCTAATGATGTAACCGTATTAATTGGTAATTTATACTAATGTTTATATTTAACTGCTGAGTGGCAACAATGTGAAGCAGTTGCTGTTGGGAGATTACTACACTGCTGGGGGTGTCAGTCCTTCTCTTTCCAGTCCTTAGCTGTAAAGCACATACACACACATACATGTTGTGTTGGTCAGCAGATATAAATACCCTCATGAGATACGCAATGGAATCCAGCTACAACCACAGAGTGATATGAGGTGGTGGAAAAGCACGCAAGGTGGTGTTTCTTGTGTGTATGTGTGTGTTTTTGCTACAAAAAAAATTATAGTAGTAGTGACACATACACCAATGTGTCCTTGAGCAAGACATTTAACCCCTAGTTGCTCCAGAGGCGTGCAACATCTGAAATACTTATCAATTGTAAGTAGCTTTGGATAAAAGTGTCAGCTAAATGTCATTTATGTATGTAGTGGAGCGTTCATCATCTTAAAAGCAGATATTACCCTCAGGAGCTGGCAGAGGCCAAAAAGAGAGCTAAGAGAGAGAGTTAATAACAGATGTAAATTTATTAGCTAGACACAAACACCACTACAAATGAAAAATATTGTTGCTGTGAAACTGCTGGATATGCAAATGAGGTAATAATTTTGCTATATTGACGTAAAACATGATTGTTTACACTCCCTCCAAGTGGCCAAAAAATCATTACTGCAGATTTGAAAGGTAGGGCGACATTTGGGGAAATTAACTGATTCACTTTGTTAGTGAGAGTTAGTCATATAGTCATATAAATCTCATGTTTGTATATTAAGCATGGAGATAGAGCAAAGTCGCTTAGCTTAGCTTAGCATAAAGACCAGAAGAAGCAAGTCTGGCTCTTCAAAAACACACATGCTAACATTAGCTAACATTAGCTACCATAAGCTACTTGTCATACCAGCCTAAACAATTATCTAAATAAAATAATTGTTCAGAACTTTGTCAATATTTTCCTATAATAGTACCATTTTTGAGAAATGATCAGGACTTAAAATTTAGGTCAAATAAAGGGTTATAAGGGAATCCTGTTCTCCTATGAGAAACTTGATCTCAGAGGTTTTTGAAAATCTAACTCAACTCCAAAAGCTGTCAGATGTCATTACAGGTCAGATATTTGTGTGATGACCCAGATACCAAACAAACAAATGCAGGAGAATAAAAACTGTTATGTGTTTTGTTTCGTATGAATTCAACTTCTTTTTTCTTTTTTCTCTCAGAGGTCTTGTAACAGCATGAAATCTGTCACTCCGGCCTCAGTCAGGGTAAACCACATCAAACCAGAACAACAAAGACACTTAGTGAATCAGGATTACAAGATTGTGGTTCTACTGTGCAGCTCCCCTCTGTGAAAGTCATCAGTAATGCCTCTTATTTGGGAAGGACACAGGTGTTGTGTTTTCTGCAAACACTCCTTAAAAACACAGCAAGTATGAGAAGGCTTCACTTAATGTACGCTGACAAATCTGGGCTAGTTTGCAAAGTTAAATGCCCAGATTCACACCCAAGCACAAGATATCTAAAAATAAAAATCCTAGACCAAAGCAGTGCTTGGATTACCACCCCATCTCCTTTTCTTGCACACTAATCAGTTAATTTTTCTCTTTTAATTTTGACATCCACACGTCACCACCTAAAATACAAATCCATCTGTAATTACTTTATGTCAATTCTCTGTTCTTGCAGTTAACAAACACAGAGGAAGTTTTTTCTCTGCGTTAGACACTAAACAGCCATCAGATTACTGAGGAGACTGTCAATTTCGATACGGTGACACAACTTCAAACATTACATTTATTGTTAGTAATGTTTAAATCAAAAGAAGAGTTGACTGGGATGCTACCAGAGTAGGTTAAGGATGTAAATAAATGTCTATTAAGCTGCAAGCTGAAGCTGACGTTTCCATGCAGCAGGTGTTGTGTTCAACCATCTGGGTCGAGATGCTGGCAGTGATTCAAACTGAGATCTATTTCTGGATGTTTACATTAATATGCTTCAAAGTCACATACAGATGATTGTTTTACTGTAAAGACCTTCAGTGTTTTGACTTATGGAAACTGTTATGTAACATTTTTCAGAATAATTTAGGAACTCATATTTCTTTAGGTCCTCGCTCTGTTACTGAAAATCATCATTAATTCAGAAACTGTTTTTATTCTCCTGCATTTGTTTGTTTGGTATCTGGGTCATCACACAAATATCTGACCTGTAATGACATCTGACAGCTTTTGGAGTTGAGTTAGATTTTCAAAAACCTCAGGGATCAAGTTTCTCATAGGAGAACAGGATTCCCTTATAACCCTTTATTTGACCTAAATTTTAAGTCCTGATCATTTCTCAAAATATTATATATATATATATATATAATTTATATATTATATTATTATAGGAAAATATTTACAAAGTTCTGACCAGTTATTTTATCGAGTTGTTTAGTTGTTGAGAACATTATTCTTTTTGTGAATATTTTCCTTAATAGTCACAATTTTAAACACAAAATATATATTAGAAAAAAATTAATCAAGAAGAAATATACATATGCTCACATTTATTGTCCATACAAACACAAATATAGGTACCTAAATACTTTTTGTACATACATATATAAATACTTAAGGTTTGTAAAGATATAAAAGAAAAAACTGTAGCATGAATTTTACGCTTGCCTGTAAACTAATCACATATTTTTATGTTCAACTGTTTGCATTGATTAAAAGAGGTTATCCAATTTTAGCATTCAATTTCAATTATACTGAGAGTAAACAAGTTACAACCTGTAATTAGTGCCAAATTAATCAGCTCTTCAGTAAACCTCTTAGGAATGTACTGAAAATGTACGTACCTGTAAAATAAATCTATATATCAAATTATTTGACTGTGGTTTTAGTACTGAACAGTAGGAAAGTGGGAAAATATCTACAAATGCTTCAAGTACTTAATCCTCAGGTTGCTAATGAGACCGCAGTGATGTTGTTTTGAAATGAGATGCTGTTGTTGGTTACAATATGTTTTGTTGTTGTTGGTGGTGAAGTCTGGCAGCTGCTCTCTACACTAACCTTGGTCCCAGATATTTCTGAAGGGCGATCTCTGCAGAGCAAAGATTATTGTCATGCCACAGAATCACAGTTCCTGTAATTACATTTTCAATTGTAACAATTGTACAAGTAATTTTCTCCCATTTTCATTTAATACTACTTAATACTTCTACTCCACTACATTTCTACTCCACTACATTTCAAAGAAACATATTGTGTATAAATACTTTTTACTCCACAGTATTTATCTACAGTTACTATTTTCTTAACTTAAACGAGATCATTTCATTTAAATAACAGTTTCAAGCCAAAACAGGTGAACTTATGCAGTAATTCACAAAAAAAACAAAGATTAGCGAAAAGTTTGTGTATCATAACTTTGTGTTTTCTTCTTTGTTCTCCCAATAATAATCTCACAACCCCTCGGATTTATCTGGTGACCCTCTGGAGGGGCCTGACCCCTAGGTTTGTAACCACAGGACTACACCTGACCCAGCACTGTATGTGAAGTAGTCAAAACTACTCGACCAGCTACAACAGTAAAATGCAGCTTAAAAATTGATGCATCCATATAAACAGCGTAATAATGTCGTATATATTAATAATATATCAGTCTACAGAAGCAGTATTTTTACTTCTGATACTTAAGTACATTTTGCTTATAATACTTTTACTTAAGTATGTTTTTGAATGCAGGATTTTAACTTGTAATGGGGAATTTTGTAACACTGTGGTAGGGGTACTTTTACTTAATCTAAAGGATCTAAATACTTCTTCCACCACTTATTATCTGAGCTTCTTTTCAAGATTATCAATAGATGTTTCTGGATTTCCTGTAAAACTAAGGCGTGCTGGAGTTGTGGAAACGAGAGGTCGAAGCTCTTGAGCATCTGCTCTGTTTTTTTGAAAAAGCAGAACAGAGGTGACATAGGACATTTGTTTATCTCCCACCTTGTTGTTTTTGGATGAATCAAACATGTTTTTGTCATTATCCTGCCCCTCATGTCTACAGTTGGCCCTAACACTGAATTTATCACCTCCCCATATGTTTTTAATGGCTCTGTGCTTCTGTGAGGGTCACATTAACAGAAACCCTTGACCTCTGACAAATAACACAAACCTCCTTATCCAAACTTTTGAGGAGTGTCTGTCATGCTGCAGCCGATCATCAATGCCACTCTTCTTCTAAGTAAATTTGTGCTGTAATGAGGTTACACAGCATCCTGGCTGTTGGATGTTACTGTTTAAAGAGTGATTGCAACATCCCAAATAGCCTATATGGTCTGTAACTGTGAGCCGCTCCTCGTCATATGACACCGACAACAGCTGCTGCTCTGTCCTGCACAATCCTGTCTCCTTCCCCCGGTCTGTCCATCTGTGGAGCCTGTTGGCCAGCGAGCCAATAGGTGCTATTTAAAAAGAGCGAAGTGGATTCAGACACACAGCGAATTAGGATGGAGGAAAAGTGGGGCGGAGAGAAGTGTGTATATATTTGTGGTCATGATGGTTCACTGCAGTTGTGTTTGTGTGTGTATGGATACTTTTTCCATGAGGATAGACGTTTACAAGTAAAGTTACAACAGGGCTGTCATTCAGGTTGGAGAGATTAAGGTTTCAGGAGCAGGAAAACGGGTAGAAGCATTATTAGCATTGTCATTATCAAAATGGCCACCAGATGAGGTTATTATAGAGAAGGATCTGTCAGCAGAAGATTCAAAATGAATGGAAAATCAACTAAGTGACACTAATTTTTGATATTCTGAAAATGTACAGTATCTTAAGTTTCTAGAGTATTAAGCACATTTAATTTCAAAGCACATTAATGACCATAAAATGTCAAATAAATTTAAATACTAATTAAGAGTCAGTCATGCTAAAGGTAGGCATGCTAACATGCTAATGCTAAGCAGCTATTATGTTTAACATTTTCACATCAGGTTAGTTTAGCTTGTTTGCATAAACACAAATTATAGGTGAGGCTGATGGGAATGTTGGTATTTTTGCAGGTATTTGGTCATAAACCAAACCAATTGTACAAAATTTAACCTGATAATGACGCTAGAGGAAAAGTCAGAGGATCACCAAAGTTATCGGGATTCATTGTCTGGGATCAGTGAATGTCTTTTCAATGTTTTGTGGCAATTTATCCAACAGTTGTTGAGATATTTTAGTCTGAGCCAAAGTGGTGGACTGACCGACTGGCATTGCTATCCCTGTAGCCAGCTAGCATGACTAAAATGATTTAAAGTTTTATTTATTAAAAAGACCAAAAGTCAGATTGTGAAAAGCTTCCGTTCAGTCTAATAATTAACTGACAATAAATGTGTCCAATAACACTAAAGTTGAAGCAAAGATGAGAAAATGTAAAGAGAAAGCGGAATCTTAATGAAGCTCAATCAGAGAAAGATCACGTGTAACTGGCACACAGCGAAGGCTTCAAATAAGCACTGGGGTTACTTTTCATCCCCAGACTGACACAGCACAGAGGTGATCTCTGCACTCGGCTCAGGTGAACAATAACAAACTGTGAGCCAGGAACAAAGATGTCTCCTGTTGCTGTTTACCAGCAGAAGTCCAGCTCACTTTAAAGCTCTTCATCACGGCTGGGAGGCCTCATTGCTGTATTTTCAAAAAAGTAGTTTAGCAGTTAACATTATTCCATAGTTATCATTTCGAGCTGCATTGGCCTTGTTATGGCAGGTGAAGACATGTGTTACACATGCTTTGTTATTTCAAAAGCTTTGTAAACAGCAAGTAAGCTGTTGGAGTTTGACCTTTTTTTATGTCAAGGACATCCACTTTTTTTGTGCATGTAGCCTACTGTACAACAATGACTTAACAGTCAACAAATAAGAACATTATACGTTTCCTCAAACATGCTGCCAAATGAGTGAAATCACCACCCACTCACCGCCTTGCCAAGATTGGGATACACCTATTATTTTTTTTAAAGGAATTCTGACTAAATATTATTATAAATTTGACTAGAGTCTGGACACGTCATTGTTGAGGTTTTCTGCCAAACAAACTTTTCACACTTTCACAGTGGAGTTTTGATTCGGATCTGGTGTCCAGTCTTTTTTATTTTCCTTTCATTCATGCACTCCTTCACAGGGAGAACAACAGATGCACAACCAAACCAACACAAAAGAAATTTAGATATATGCCACTTAAATTCCCTTAATTGTATCCAGGGAAACTACACCATTTATTATTTAAGTCAGACCTCCTGTCCTCTCTGCATATCATCCATTAAATGCAATCGCTACACTCTCTTTTACAGTCTCCACTACACTGATCTGCTGCGGTTTGCAGACAGCAGCTCAGTCTTGAATATGATTCCCCAGTTGGTTTATACGCGAAACACACAGCGTGTGAAATGCAGCACTGAATGCTTGGGGCGTGGCTGCTGTAAACCACAAACCCAACCCTGATCTCTGGACGGCCTCTCAAGAGGACACTCACACCTGTCATTCACACGGCTGCTGGCCCATAGAGACAGAGTTAGTAGGTGGATTTAGAAAAGATGTTGGCTCTCAGTCTGTGTGTTGTGTGATGTTCAGTGATTAGCAGAGTAATGTGCATCTGTCGTTTGGTTTGATGTGTCCTCCAGTGACCAGGAAATAATACTGTGTTTTAAAGTCTGGAAACATTTTCCAGGTGTGTTTCAGTTGTTTATCAGGAATACACTTTTTGCTTTGAACACATTTTTCTCTTTTATGATAATTCGAGATATAAAGACACATTGTGGCTGACAAAGAAGAGATGACAAAACATTTTAAGAGAGGTGGAAAGTGATTCTTGTTTTCTTTAGAGTTACAGTCTGTGGAAGTCAAACAGAACAACCCAAGTGATTGTATAGTGTATTCAGGAAACCATTTGTATTTTTGCATATTTTATCTACTAAAAATCTCAGAACAAGACCAACTTTATTGTCCCCGAGGGGAAATTTGTCTTGGGCATCAGTGCCGGATGAGGCTGCAGTAAGCAACAGTAACACATTTGGACTTTACATTCACATACATCATACAGTCCCACACAATACATTAAGTTGCATTGCACAAGTATCAGAGGCCATACCCCTGTCAATAATTAATTACAAGGTAAGTAGAACCTGCATGATATAAACCAATGAATTATTATATTCAGTTGCACTTGAGCACATAAACAATATATCAACACTAAAGTACATCCACCACAATTCTATATTAAAAAAGAAGAACTCATATAAGACCTTTGTAATTTGTGCACTAGTTTGACTCATTCAAATAATCCCATTGTGCCAAACTGGGCCTTTAATGGGACAATTGAATTTCAGCCTTAAAGATCAATCAAAGGATTTGAACAGCCTTTGTCTTCACTTTGCAAATAACACTTACATCTTTACCTTTTCCTTCTTTTTTCCCCAGGTGCTGTGTTAACGTGAAACCACAATACACATCTTCCACATCCAGCCAAAAGCAGAGTGCTTCAGGTATTTTTTGTCAGTAAAGGAAGTCAGCACTTACCTCAGTATCAGGAAGCATTTTCCATTTAATTTTGTTGATTAGCTGGATTTTTAGGAAGTGAGCCAGTGTCCCTGTCTGTCAAGAAGTCAGTAAACCTTATTAAACTTAGGTACAATCCCACAAAAAAACCCCATCAACAGTCAAACGATGGCCCCCAAAAAGAAGGCCCCGCGTCAGAAGAAGCCTGCCGAGGAACCCATCTCTAAGGTCGCGATGGAGACCGCCCCGGTGCCGCTGAAGGTGGAGAGCCGTGGGGACGGTGTGGTGGTGGTGGAGACTGGGGTGAAGAAGATTGAGCAGATGGCTGCGTTGGACATCGCTCAGCTAAATAGCCTCAACCTGCCGCTGCCCCCGCCAATCATCAAGCCTGGAGAGAGAGGCCTCGGCCTGGGCAGTGAGCTGACACGACCCCTGCATGGAAACGCCCTGCTGGAGGAGCTCAGCAAGATGCGGCAGGAGAAGTAGGTTCTGGTGCCACAATTGATGGAATTTAGTGCTGGGCAACGATTAAAATTTTTAATCGCGATGAATCGCATAATTATGTGCAGAATTGTGCAATAACATGTGGTTTGCAAACACTTTAAACAAATAAGGTGCTTTTTACCAACAGTATTCCCTTTACACAGTAGTAATAAAATATTTAGCTATATAACATTTAGTGACTATGTTTTGATTTTAAGAACGTTCCTAAGATCGACATCTTACCCAATACTAATCAGCATGCAGTGTGTAGCTATCCACTTCGCTAAAGCATTTGTTCGCTTGTCTTGCTTTTGTTTATCTACTTCTCCCACATGCTGCATCCAGCGTAGTCTGCCGAAGCCTCCCTCCACTCTTGTTTGAGTGGGTGATTTGCAGGCTGGTCAACACCCACCCCTCCTGTGACCCATGGTTTGACTGTATGTGTATTCAGAGCCAGTGAGCATGGGACTTTCAAAATAATAATAATAAAAACTGCATTAACGTGCGATAAAATAATTGTCAGCGTTAATTAATTAACGCGTTAACATGACAATAAAGCGTTAACGTGCCCAGCCCTAATGAAATTATGATACAATTAAATGCTATGCAATTATGATACAACACGATTCTGATTACAATACAATACAGTTACGATACAATCCGATTATGAAACGGCACAATCATGATACGATATAATATGATTAAATAACGGCTCAATTACGATGCAATACAATTAAGTAACAGCACAAATCAGATACAATACTATTACAATAGAATATGATTACATAATGGCACACTGATGATATGATACAGTATTTATATTGTCACTAAATATATTGCATTAAATGGTAATTTGCCCTTTCCTACATCAGTATACCATTATATTATAACATATTGTATCATGTCATGAGATATTGTATCAGATATGTATGACAACTATCGATCCCTTTGTGTGCACCTGCTCTCGCCCTCAGGTTCCTGACTGACTTGGAGTTGGCCTGTAAGACAAAGGCCTTTGATGTCCACAAGCTGGTCATCTCCTCAGTCAGTCAGTACTTCAGAGAGATTCTGGCCAAAGACCCCAGCATGAAGCGCCTGGAGCTGCCCTCCCTCTCACCTCTAGGTAGGCCATCCAACAGGATCTTAACCTATTAAATTTACTTGAAGACAACATTGTATCAATAAGATGTATTTATCCCCTTCACCTGCTTTTCATTTATCTATTGCATCAATCCTCACATAAAGCAGAATGAAAAGGGTCGTATGGATATATGGAGAGTTGTTTTGTTCAGACCCGTATTGAAGGAAACAACAAACAATCCTGTTACATATTATATTAAATATCAAGGAGCATGATAATGTCTATTATGAGAACCTTTCAGTCAGACATTATTTTAACTTCTAGTCAAGATTCCAAACTTTCTAGATGCCATATATGTTAAAACATTAAATAAAACACATTAGTGGCCCTAAAAAGAAAATTATAGTATTTCACTCAGCCTGAGCATCATAAATCCTCAATGAAACTTCGAGCAACTAAAATGTTTTTCTAACTTTAAAGGTGCTTGAAGGGGGATTTAATTTAGTCTCTTGTGTCCAGAGCAGGCTTTGTTTCTGCTTCCTGACAAAATATCTTGTTTCCCATCTTAGAGACTCAGGTTGTGCTAAATCAAACGCCTGTCTTGCTCTACCGCCCTCTGTCTTGCAGGCCTGGCCAACGTTATCACCTTCGCCTACCTGGGTCGTGTCCACATGTCCCTGTACACCATCGGTTGCACCGTCTCCGCCGCCGCCACCCTGCAGATCCCTCAACTCCTCAAGATGTGCATGGACTTCCTGCTTGCCGAGCTGAACGTGCAGACCTGTGTCTACATCTGGAACATTGCTGCCGCGTACGGCCTGCTGCCTGTGTGTGACGCCGCTCGTCGCTTCGTCCTGGAGAACTTTGTGCAGTTCGCCGACACGCCGCTGTTCAATCAGCTGACCCTGGAGCAGATCTCTGCCTTCCTGCAGGACGACTCCCTGCTGTTGCAGTCAGAGGTCACGGCCTTCCAGGTCAGAGGTCAAAATTCGTCTTTACAGGTCTGACGTTGAAAATGATATGCTGTTTTTATTTCCTTATGAATTAATTGCACTAGATTGAATCACAGCTGCCTTTGAATCGTTACAATCAATTTTAATTCAACTCATAACATTTTTTACAAGAATTAGTGAGAACGTAACATTCACTTCTGAAGTCCTAATTGGGGAGATCTTCTAGGAAGCAACTGCTGCGTCTTCTAGTATTAACTCAACCCTCTGGTCCTTCCTGCTATTTTCATCCAGACCTAAAAACAGACCCCAGACCAGCTGCTCAGAGCATAACAGAGATCCATGAACACCAGTCACTGCAGGTCGACTGTGAGGAGAAACCACCAATTATAACTCACTGTACGCAAGAAAAGAGCTCGTTTATTAATATACAACTCCATTACAGACCTAAATAGACAAGCAGCTGAGGAGGAGAGAAGCACTGATGGTTGCATTTATAAACTCGACCAAATGTCAGTCCGTCTCCCTGACTGACCATCTATTTCTTATATCTTTCTATTACTGGAATTGTTTTTTATCGATTTTAGAATTTTTTTATTTTAATTTGCTACCAAAACCAACTTGTGCTTTAAAATAGTATCAGTCACATCAAAAATATAACCAAATGAGAAATTAATACCGGATGTTAAATAAGTAAAAGAAATACAAAATAAAGCTTTATACTTTTCATTTAACCTCCAGTGAGTTTCTAAATAAAAGCAAATGTGTTATATTTTTTTCCCTTTGCCACCAACGAGTTGATAAATAAATTAAATTATTTTACACATATTTTTATTTTCACTAGCTTATATTATTTTTCAGCTCCATAGATTTCCTATTTTTGGGGTTTTGACACTCATTTAATCACCAATCTATTTCCTGTTTGTCCCAAGGAACACTTCTGATCTTCCTCCTTTAAAAACTATTTAGTTTATTGACATACTCAGTCATATTTTTTAACTTGTTTGTGCTGCAGCTATATTTAAGCCACTTTTTGTAACTTGAAAGAAACAGAATTATATTATTGATTATTATTATTGTTACATTTCAATCGTATGCACTGAAAATATCTTTCTCTCACTCTTTCTCCAGCTGGCCATGAAGTGGCTCGACTTCGACGCCTCTCGTCAGGCTCACGCCGCAGAGCTCCTGTCTCATATCCGCTTTGAGACGATCCCGGCCAGCGAGCTGGTGAGTCAGATCCAGCCGGTGCCCCGCATGATGATGGACCCTCAATGCCACCGCCTGCTGGTGGACGCCATGAACTACCACCTGCTGCCCTACCAGCAGAACACCCTGCAGTCAAGACGCACACAGGTCCGTGCCAGTCAGCAGACTCTCCTCACCGTCGGCGGTCGACCATCACTCACAGAGAGAGCTCTCAGCCGCGAGGTTGGTGCTTTGTGCGTGAGGTTTATGCTCACCATCTTAAAAGAAACACAACAAAAAACCCTCATTGACCTTTGACCCTGGTGTCCAGGTGCTGTGGAGGGACCCTCGTGAAGGAGGAGCCTCCTGGCGTCACCTCACCCAGCTGCCGGCGAAGAGCTTCAACCAGTGTGTGGCTGTGATGGATGGCTTCCTGTACGTGGCCGGAGGAGAGGACCAGAACGACGCCCGCAACCAGGCCAAACACGCCGTTAGCACCCTCAGCAGGTACAAAACAAATATCTTAAGACATACAGGCAGTGAAAAAAATAGGTAACTGATAAGAAGGTAAAGCAGGACACACCTGAAGGCCCTAATCATTCCAATATTCCCGAACAAAGTAACAACTAATCATACAAAACAGTTGCCACACTGCAAAAACTAAAATCTAAGTAAGATTAATTAACTTTTTTTTTTCCTTAAGTTGCAAGTGAAATATTCTTGTTCTGTTGGCAGATCATTTTGCTTATTTTAAGTAATATTTCCCCCATTTTAATGCTTTTTCCCCTTGTTTTTGAGAGCTCACTTTTTGCAGTGCACACAGCCCTGGGGGTCTGGGGCCCACTTTGCGGGTTGGTGATCCAGCCCTGCACAAATCTCTCTAAACCTGACCCTCTGCCATTTACCTCCCCCAGATATGACCCTCGCTTCAACACCTGGCTCCACTTGGCCAGCATGCGTCAGCGCCGCACCCACTTCTCTCTGGCAGCCAGCGGCGGCCGCCTGTTCGCCATCGGAGGCCGTAACGTGGAAGGTCTCCTGGCCACCACTGAGAGCTACCTTCCCTCCTCCAACACCTGGCACATGCGCGCACCCATGGAGGTGCCTCGCTGCTGTCACTCCAGCGCCACCCTGCCCTCCGGAGACATCCTGGTGACCGGCGGGTACATCAACTGCGCCTACTCTCGCTCTGTGGCGTGCTACAAAGTGGAGACTGACACCTGGACCGAGAAGGCCTCCATGGAGACGCCCCGCGGATGGCACTGCTCTGCCACCCTTGGTGGGAAGGTGTATGTGGTGGGAGGAAGCCAGCTGGGGCCCGCCGGCGAGCGGGTGGATGTGATCTCTGTGGAGGTCTTCTCCCCAGAGAGTGGCATGTGGAGCCGGGCCGCCCCTCTCCTCCTCGGCGTGAGCACCGCCGGTCTGTCCCCACTGGCTGACAAGCTGTACCTGCTGGGAGGCTGGAACGAGGCGGAGAAGCGCTACAAGGCGGCCGTCCAGAAGTACGACCCGGCCATGGACAGCTGGTCCTTGGCGGAGGATCTGCCCGAGCCAACAGTGGGAGTGTCCTGCTGCACCCTGACCCTGCCACCCCGCCACACACCACGCCGACAGCAGCACCGCAACACCCCGGCCCACGAAGAGCAGCAGCAGAAGAACCGGAGCAGGGAGAGCAGCATGGCTCCTTCACAAACCATCACAGCGTAGGAAGGGAGGAAGGGAGAGACTAGAAGAGAGGAGGGAGGGTTTAACCTCTGGATCATGTCTGCTATTTTTTCTGTTTATATCTGTGAAAAAAAAAAACCCACTTAAAAGTAAAACAGAAAAAGATATTTGGAAAAAACATCTAAAAGTATTGATAACAACAATGACGGAGGATTGAACTGGACAAAATTTGCCTGTTTTCCATAGATTTGCACAATTGGGATGTTTCCGGAAGTGATTTTGTGGTGTTCAAAGAACATTTTCGCTCGACATCTGTCCTGTATTATGTCTAAAGCAGCAAAATTAAAATTAGATGCTGATTTAAGAGACAGGCAGTGGCACAACTTACATGTCGTGCAAGAAATAAGAGGATCTTACATGGTCTGAAGTGGTCCAGGAGGTTTTACATTGATGGAAACTTTGGAGAGAAAAGGTGGATGAGAGATTAATTGTAGTCGAGCAGGTGGAGGCAGAGAGGTGATGGATGGAGGATGAAGAATGGAAAGATGGGAACAGTGGCTTGTCTGTGTTTGAGCGTGTTTGGGTTGAACAAAACGTCACTGTGAATCCACTGGCAGTTAATACACAAAGATGTATCTAGGTGTGTGATGTGAAAATAAGTGTGAATGTGTGTGTGTGACAGCGACGAGTGAATGATGTGTGTGTGTGTGGTCGCTACAGGAAATGAGCCAATTCTGACAAAAAAACAGTAATAATGAAGATTTCTCATTAGCAAACTTTGAATATTTCTCAGGATAGAAGCAGTAGTGTAGCTGAATTGTGACAAAAATATTTAAAAAAATATAGATGAGATACTAAATATTTTATAAGTGCAATGCAGTGAAGGGACTAAGATGTAAACACAAGAGGAAGGCAGTGTGAACTCAACACCACAGGTGAGATTTAAATGGAAATAAACTGGAAAACATTAAAGTCTCCACAAATTAAAGTTTCCCAAGAAACCAAGATTACAGAAAATGCTTATAAAATTATATAAAATCTTTTCATAAAAATCTGAAAAATTATTTATACAAATGCAACAAATAAAGAAAAAGACATTTTAAACATGTGATAAAATTTTAAATCTCACCTGTATTTTGAAACATTTGCCTCCTCTTATATTATTTTTAGCATAATTTTTACTGAAACTTAAGACAAACTACCAACTGAAGAACCAGTGAGACTCCAGCGGGCGGAGCTAAGCTGTTAGCTTAGCTCCAAGAGTTAATGATGAATATAGTTTTTATTATGAGATACAATGAGGCTAATCTGGCTCACTTTATCGGCTGAATCCCTCTGAATTTGTCTCCTTCTCGGCACCAGATGAACTCTGTACTGGTGGTTTCACTGAATAAAGCCAATGTGATCAAAACATGACTCTCTGCCTTATTTTATATTTGCACGTACAGACTGAGCAGCTGGGAATTGTAGCCTGTCCACAGGAAGCAGATAGTTTCATGTGCTGCAGGAAACATCTCAACTGAGGTCAGAAATATGGTTAAAATAAAATTTACACTACATTGAGCAGTAAACAGGATCATAAGGTTAAGAAGTGTGTGATAGATATTGGGGGGGGGGGGTAATGTAAATTTGGTCCCAGATGCAGTGGTGGAACTACTTACATTGGACATCAATTATACTAGAAGTATCAGCAGCAACATATGAAAAGTATTTGTGCAGCAAGAGCGAACACTTTCACAACTGGATTACAATTGCTGATGCAATCAAGTGTAAGCAGTATTTTGATGTTAAGGCTGGTCAAGGTGGCGCAGATTTTACATATTTAATGTGGAGTTGGGTCATTATATTTACTGGTGAACAAGGAATCATAGTTTATATAAAAATTGTTTAAAAAAAACTCCAATAGGGCTGGATGTTAAATGTAATGGAGTAAAAGTAAAATATTTCCCTCTTAATGAAGTCAGTGTATAAAGTTGAAGTTACAAGTACAGTTAAATACACCTGAAGAGTACTTAAGTAAATTAAATATTTTATTTCCACTTCAGCCCAAAACGTCAGGTCTCACTGTTGAGGAATGGAAACATCCCCTGCAGGTCTTGTTTTTGCCTTCTTCCCCAGAGCCAACTTTCATAGGAGACTAATAATTTCCACGTTGTGGATTTCAGGGTTTTTTTCGTGATAGTTTCTCAAAAATGCAAACCTGCTTCTTGGAACAAACAGGTCCATGATGTTTAAAAGTGAGATTATTGAATTAATGAGCAGAGTCTGTAAACAGCAGCAATTTCATCGGATTGTTCAAAACTCAGGCAAACATTGACAAAAACCGCAAGTCAAACTGACCTCTTACTACAGTCAGTCCTAATTTCTCAAGAGTCAGTTCTTTAACATTAACTGAATACACTTGTAAATGAGTACTCATGTCTGATTTTACACAACAGAAAAAAACCAAACAAGACGAGTGTATTTTTTCCCATTTTATTACTTTGATACAAACAAGATCAAAAGGTGGTCCTTTACTTGCCGGGGAGGATGATACCGTCATACTGAAAAGAAATAAGGGACAAATATTAGATAAAACATGGAGACCTGCAGGTTTAACGCAGCAGGTCAGGACCCACTGGTGCAATACTCAACCCCCAAGAATGGAGGAAATAATTCAAATGTGTTAATTAGCTCTGAGGTCATTTAAATGGAAGTTTTAAAATCAGCCATCACACGAAATTGAATTAGCCACTCGGGTTAAACAGAGCTTATACTATGGGGTAGAATTATCTTTACATGTTTGATCTAACAAATTATTTTTATATGTGTTCATATAACAATGAAATCTCAGGATTTCTGGAATTCCTCCCAGGGAATCATTTAACTTTGACATCCCTTTTGATGGATGCATCACTTCTGACAGTGGTTAGTTCATAGCGAACGATGAAACCAGCCCCTTAGAATGGTTATAGACCGTTACAGATGAGTGTTGCTCGATCTCAGATGCAGAACAGACTTTAAAAAGACTCTTATCTTCTGCTTCTGTTGTCTCAAATGTTGAATGTAAACTTGCACCATATTCTGGAGCGCTAGTCTACATGTTAACATCTTAGGATGTGTGGTAACCCTGACAACACTTACTTTTTGCTGGAACCAGCGCATGGCCTCCTCTTTGCGGATGCGGTGCCTGAAACCGATGCGGCCTGTTTTCCGCTTCTTGTCAGCGATGCTGAAGCCGGGTCTGCCCAGAACCTGAACACAAGGAGGCGACAGAGCTGGTCAGAAAAGCTTAACACAGAGAAACACTGTTTCTCCATCACAAACTACAGAAGCATCAATCAGTATTTGATGTTGGTCCTCCTGACGGTCCGGTGTTGAATCTCTACAACGCAAAGTCAAACATCCATTTTACAATAATATGACAAGCCAAAAGCAGTACAACCTTAGATTTGCGAAGCTGTAATGAATATTTTAGGACTTTTCTCACTTGCTAAATTTGACATTCAAACAAATGAAAGTTAGCCAGCTCAGTGTTGCAATACTACCTTTAACTCAGACAGATCTAAGACATTGCGCACAAGAAAATCAGTTGCTTACGGAAACAAAAGATCTGTTTATATTTGTAAGACATTAACATGTATACTACCAGATATACAAATGTCCCTGATAATAAACTCCTTCATCATGGATCAAAAACAAAGAGCATTTAACTGACTTCCTGTCAACCACCTACTGAAGACAAAAATGCAAACTAAATATCAAATTTAACCATTCACACCAAAACATGCTGCATCTTAGCAGTGAACCTAAAATCCTGTCACACTTTACATAAAACCTCAAAAAGAGATTTAGACCTTTTAAGATTGTACTGCTAAACAAATACTCAACCACAAAAACACTTCTTAAATATTGGTATGAATTTCACCACATGCACCCACATTTTTTATTAACTGCCCAAACCCTCATCACCTACAAACAGCTACATTTAAAAAGACACATACCACGTAGAAGTCCAGTCCGTAGATGCCAATGCTGGGGTCGTATTTGATACCCAGATCGATGTGCTCCTGGATACCGAAGCCGAAGTTTCCGGTATCTGAGAAGTTGTTCTTTCTCAACTCGTACTCACGCACCTGGAAGCAGAAGCAGCAGAGAGAAGTCTCTTTAGCCACAGAACAGTTTGTTCACAACAAAATAGTTGATAAATATTAAGTTAAACCTTCGTACAACAGAAGAATGTATTCAGACGTGACTATTTGGTGTCCACATGCATTTTGTTTATGGAAAGTTGAACACAAAACTTGTGAGCAGTTGTCGCAAGCTTTGGGTATGCATGGTAACATTTTGTTCAATATCAAGTCCTTTCCTGCAATTTATAATCTAAATTTAAGAATCTGAGTTGGCCTGGAAATATTTCCTGACATACGGTATTTTCTTTGACTTTAAAATACTGAATAATTCAAATTATAACAATCTGAGAAACAAGCATCACTCTTTGGATAAACCACCTCAGACATTTGTAACCCGTGTGACAGGTTTAAAGAGTAACAAGACAAAAGCAGTTGGGAACCACTGAACCAGGAAGAAACTGAGAAAGCCATCAAGACTTTCTGACCTTGAGTCCTTTCTCCAGGATCTCCTCTGCTTTGGCTCCACGGACGGTACAATGGACAGCAATCTTTTCATTTCTGCGGATACCGAAGGATCGCACGGTGTAGCGGGCTGTGGGAGGAGGAAAGAAGCTAAATTTAAAAAAAAAAATACAGTGCTGTGATAAGACACCAGTGTTATACCTATAAACCAGATTTATTCTAAGCAAGTCGTAACAACTTCATCAAGCCACTTCTGCTTTAGTGTGACTGATGTTGGTCACTAGTGTAGTTCACTTCTACAAATGCTTACCTAAACCTGGTCCTACCTAAAGGTCTTCCCTTCACACACAAACAAACACTTACCCTTGGAGAAGACGGGGGTCTGCCCGGTGAGCTGCTCCAGCACCTTAGCAGCACGAGTCAGTCTGTCTCCGCTCTCACCGACACAGATGTTCAGGCAGAGCTTGCGGATGCGAAGCTCTCTCATGGGGTTCTCCTTCTTCTCACCCTGGTCCTGGAGACCACAAAATAAATTTAAATAAAAAAAGGTTAGTTTTTCACTACAAGGACTTGACAGCCCCAAATCATCAACTCAGTACATCACACACAGAAGACCAGACTACTAAGAAGTTCTGACACCTTGTCAACTGCTGCTGCCATGTTGAGTTTACCTACTAGCGTTAGCCTGCTAGCATAGGCAAGGCAAGACAAGCTTTCAAAAACAGTAGCCACACCTGGAGTTTACAGTCCAATATTAATTATTAGCGCTACATCGTTGAGTCTTAACACTTGTCCTGTCTCAACATCAAACTACCAACAGCCTCAGACGGTCACATGCCGGCCGGAGGACATGTCCGTACATATCCCCGCTGTTCCTGCTGTTAGCGGTGTCACATACGTGTCCCGAACTCAAATAAGAACTTATAGACAAGTAAGAACAGGCTCGTATAAAAAGGCAGACACGCGCATACTGTCTGGCCGCAGTGTCATCACACAACTGCAACATCGTCTTGAACGAAACTTTAACTACATGTAGAGGCAGGACGGCATCTTCCAGGAGCTAGCCTGTTAGCATTACTCGGTTTCTTAATTTAACAGTCTTCTGTCACATTTATCGATAAAATACGACTCTAGATTAATCATCCATAATGTAATGTACGTTTCTGTGCATCGAACATTAGTTAAGATGACGCTACAGCTCCGATGATTGTGGATTTCAACGCCAACTTCACATTTGATCGCCATCGTATAATGTGAGACAGTACTCACCGCCATGTTGGATCACTAGAAGAGGACGTTACGTTTCCGGCGACAGACTTTTATAGTCGTGTGTTCGTCGCAAATGAGCTCGGAGAAACATCGCAGGGTAACGCGGGGGTTCCTTTTTACTACTAAAAGCGAAAATGTTAGCGTAAAAAAACAACAAAATTTGTTTTATCGTCTTTCGTCTATTTCCATTATTAGTTGACAAATAGTTGCACATATTTGTTGTTGATCGTTATTCTTTGTTGCTGTATATTTTTGTCAGTTTATATATTTATATGTACACAATATTCTCTTCCGTTGCCTTACTTCAGCACAGCGCAGACCCAGAATAATGCACATGTGTATATCTGCAACGTTGTTCTTCTATTACATATTTATATATTTCTAAATTTATTTATATAGACTGTATGTTTGTCCATGTGTAGCACCTTATCACCACAGCAAATTCCTCCTAGGTGTAAAACACTACTTGACAATAAAGCTCCTTCTGATTCTGATCAATTGATCAAGAGTAAATTAATCAGTAACCATTTTGATAGGCTAATCAAAAAAATTATTTCCCATTGGCTGAACATTCCCACCAGTTTAAGATCCCTAAATATGAAGATTTGATACTTGATACTAATAGTAAATGTTGTAATCTTTATAATCTTGATGTCGGACAAAACAAGCTATTTGAAAATGTCCCCTGAGTTTTTTATTGTAAAAGAAAATAATCATGAAATTAATAGTTAACAAAAACAATCCTCTTCATATGTTTTTCAGTGTAGCCTTTATGCTTTTGCCACAGACATATGTAAAACATAAAACATTAAATTAGGTAATTCTATTCATATATTAATTTACAAATAAAGATACAGAACTACAAATGACCCCAAAACATTTTACATTAAAACAAAAGGTGACTTTAATTTAAGAAAATACACAAAAAGGAATGAAAGAATAGATAAACTAAATATGTGTGTTGTCTCGGCAAAGGAGAAGTGCTCACTAACACAGATCTTGACAGATTTGTGAACAATATTTGAGAGAAACAGGCCTTTTGTGTACATAGAGAAAGTCTGAGATCTTTGAGTTCAGCTCATGATGAACGCGGGCAAAAACAGTGTTGTGTTTATTATTTTGTTCAGTATATGTCTCCTTCAGTGTCACTATTGATTAAGTAAATGAGGGAAATTGATGAGCCAAACACTCTTCATTACTGGTTTTCACCTAATTTAAATACTTTGTGAAAACAGTGTAACATTTAATATGTTCATTGTGGATCCTCTTTCCCATCACTTATATACGATATAGGACACAAACCAAACCTACAGCAAACATTACAGCCAGTTTCTTCATAAATGCAGAGTCTAGAGTAGAAACTACAGACAATAAGAACGAGTTATCTGAGGATATCTCAGTGGAGATATCTGCTAAAGGAGTCATTAGTCTCAGGGGTGGGACTGGAGCTGGGGGCTTCAGCAGGGGCAGGCCCTCCCTCCTCTGCTCCATTAGGGCGTTGGTGAGGAAAGCCAGCGCCTTGCGGGGGAAGATGGTCGGGGAGAAGAGGTTGCAGTTGGGGACGAAGAAGTGAGGAAGCTCGCCACTGCGAGCGTGGTCCTCCAGAGCCCCGAGGAGGTGCAGGAAGCAGGCAGGAAGCTGCTGACGGGCCCACATTGAGTCACTGAACCTAACAAACGAGACGCAGGAGAAGGAAGACCTCAGATAAATAGAAAAACTGAATGACTGAAATTATGAGACTGAGAGATTTTTACAACCCTACTACCCTATAACAACACTACTACTAGTCCTACCTCTGTTAAATAGGGCCACAACTGGTGACTATTTCTATTGTTCGATTCTATCTAATCTGTTGATTCTTTTTTTGATTAATTGATAAATTTTTAAGTCTTTCAAAACACATTTTCTCAAAGCCCAGTCGGAGGCCGACCATTAGTCAAAAACTAGCATAAAAAAGCCACAAATCTTCATATTAAAGGAGCTTGTACCAAATTTTTCTTCATCTTTGCTTGATAAATGACTTAAATGATTCAACAATAATCAAAATTGGTGTGAATTAATTTTCTGTTGATAGACTGATCAATTAATTGACTTATTGTTTCAGCAATGTAGTTAATCTCACTGTGCTTATATATGTATTTTTAGGGCTGCAACCAAGCGGGAAGCTTACGGTCTACAATATGAAGCCGATGCGGAAGTCCCTGAAACCTGGTTTCTATTGAAAATCCAGCAGGGGCGACTCTTCTGGTTGCAAAAAGAAGTCTGGCTCCATTAGAAATAATGGGAAAATGATCCTGCTTCTCAGCTGAATAATTACCTCAGTAAACACTTTCCTGATGAGTTTATGGTCAGTCGCTAGTTTCAAGTCTTCTTCAATAAAAAATGATGTTCATTTAGTAAATTATGGTCCCATTTATTTAAAAATAGACCACAAAGCAGAGTGTGTTTCAGGGCGGGATTTTCTATGATTGACAAGTCGTTACCATGGCGACCTGTCAATCAGGCTAGAGCCGACTCGTACCCTCGGCGCTGTGTAAATTTAACCAGCGCCGCTGAAAAAGCTTATTAGGAGTCGGCTGTTCACTTTTTCTGGTGTGTACATTTAGTTTTAAGAATGTTGTTCGCTAGACAAAGTTATCAGCCCTGTTAAAATGACAGTTGACGTGAGTTACAGTTGCACTTAGCTAAGCAAGCTAGCTGAATCTGATGACAAACATTAAATAAGCAACTGTTTGTGATGACAACTACAAATATTAGCACCAGGACACTACGATTAAAGTTATTGCTGCAACAACAGCTACTTATACTACTTCTACAACAACTAACTACCGGTTCCATTCTTACTGTGATAATATTGACATATTGATGATAACAAAGATGTTAAAGACTACCTGATGGACAGGGTGTGGAGGAAGGCGGTTTTCCCGTGGTACGAGCAGAGGTTATCCAGCTCTTTGGGAAAACGTTGTTTCAGGCCCTCAATCACAGACTTGAGGAGCATTAAGCACTGCTTACTGTCAGAGAGGACAAGAAATCATTTGTTATAAAATCTTTTTATTCCAAATTAATGTCTTCCCTTTTTTAAAATCATCTTCTTTAAGTTAATGTGTACTCTAAATACAATTTTTACTATGTTCTTTTAAAAGACTTTGTACGATATCACCTGTAATAAGGCATCTTTCTTAAAGAATTAATATAAACAGTAAAACAATTGTTTTATTAATGATTCACATATAATTTACTAATTATTTTTATACATCAGTTATAAACCATTAATAAGAACAAATCTGAAGTTGCCAGGTTTTGAAAGATACAGTCTGTTGCTAATAATGCAGTTTGTCACGTTGGTAATCCATAAATAAACGTTCTAATATATAAACATTAAAATAATCAGCTAATGAAATTATTAGAATAACAAAGAGCTTCATGGCTGGGAGGATGTGAGAATAAAGTGAAAAGTCTCACCGGCAGCATTTGGTGGCATTGCTCTCACAGCAGGTTTTCTTGTTGCCGTGGCTTGTGATGATTTTCTTCTCAATGTGAGAGAAAGAAATCCTCCAACTCTCTGTTACAGAAAGACAAAACAACCGAAGGGGACAACATTACACCCACACAAACACACTGTGTAAAAAATAAATCCCACTTAAAGATTCAGTTTGTACATTTTAATGGCATCTAACTCATTCATGTGTTCTTAAGTTGGAATGTGGAATCAACATGGACGCTACTACAAACACGTGTTGGGTTAGCATTATCAGAGCATATAAACAACACGCAGACATCTATGACATCTTATATTAATTTAATTTCTAAATCCAACAACAAAAGGCTGTGAAACCTGTCAACATATCGTCTTTATAAATTCTAGACTACCCCAAAGTTTTTATTATTTGTGTCTGCTTACATCTTTGTATATTGTTCTTTATATTTATTTATGTCACAATTACACATTATTCCTCTTTTTTAATAAAGATTTAAGGAGGAAAAAAATATCTGATTATTACGACACCACATGAATGCACCATCAATCACCGATCACCCCTCCCTTTGCAAGCGCGCAGAAGAAGCTATGGTGGCCGAAACGCTCTGTCGGCTCTTGTGCTAAATGATACGTGTGTTTCCAAATTTCTTACTTCTAAAAAAACAGACAACAACTACTACTACTTATACTACTAATACTATTACCTCTTCTTTTTGTAGAGCAGTTTGTCTGTTCGGGCAACTGTAGAAACATGGTGGCGCAACATGGCAACGTCAAAGTAAGGGGACCCGCGGTGTATGTAGATAAAAATGTCTTAGTCTAAGGTAATAAAAACAAAACTGTTCATTATGTAAGGTATTATATTGCATTTTTGTCAACATATCCTTAACCTTAGCTATTCAAATCAGGAAAACCGTGATGGAAACACAAGCAAAGCGTGTTATGTACATATGTGGAGCTGTTGAAACGATCATTCTGCCTCTAACGGTGTGGATGAGGGCTGAGGTGGAGATGGGCAGTGAGGGAAGATGCACTCAGATCCTTTACTTGAGTAAAAGTGAAAAAAACATCCATCACAAGTAAAAGTCCTGCAAGTAAAATTCTACTTAAGTAAAAGTAAATTAACAATATTAACAGATACATTTACTTAAGTAAAAATACTTGTTTGGCAGAAAACCATCCCCTTTAACTTATATAATAAATTAATTTATTAATACTGATACTACTGAAGCAGCTGCTCGAGGTGGAGCTAGTTTTAACCACTTTAAATACAGTTAGCTAGTTTAGTCCAGTGGTTCCCAACCTAGGGGTTGGGACACTCCAAAGGGTCACCAGATTATTTTTTATTCTTTTTCCAGTTTAACTTTTTAACCACTTCATCTTGTTATACAACATTCTACCTCGTACATTGTGTAATCTTTAACAATGTGTTGTGTTTTATAAAATGATGTTATTTTTTATTTATTTTGATCTGAAAAGTAATTAGTAATAGTAATTAGTAATGAAAGGAGAATAAAATTAAAAACCCTCAAGTAAAGTACAAATAACTTAAAATTGGTAATTAAGTACAGTACTTCAGTAAATGTACCACCACTGCCTAAGGCCCTAAATCACTGTTTCTACTAACTTGAAGTCAGTCAGAAAGTTTGCATTTGCATCTGAGCAAAATCATCTACATATAAACTTCTTGATTTTTTTGTTGCTGTCTTTGTTGTTTACACACAACAACAACAGACGGAAATCTCTCTCACCTTTGGCGTCCTCGCTGAGATTTCGTCCTTTGAGCCTCTTTGGCACAAAGAAGCAGGGTAAACTTTTGATTTCTTGGCGGGCTTT